AATAGGTCTTAAAGGTACACCTTGTTTGTGGATTTTAGGTAAACCATACAGACTAGGTGTGGCCTCCCCTGGGTACAGTCTGTGGTACAGGAAACGGTCAATAGCCTTGTCCTGCTCCAAAATTTTCAGGCAATCTATTAACTTCTTCTTGTAACCACTTCCTGGATCTCTTTTCAGAGGTTCATAAGTGTTTAGGTCACTAAGGAGTGTCATAACTTTCTCATGATAGTCTTTCTGGTTCAAAATCACTGTGCACCTTCCTTTGTCTGCTGGGAGAATGATGATGTTTTTGTCCTTGCTAAGAGTGGTGAGTGCATCCCTCTCCTCTCTACTGATGTTGGAAGGTGGTGGTTTGGCTTTGCTGAGGCAGGATGAAACTTTGATTCTGAGCTGTTCTGCTTCAGCCTCTTTCATTTTGTTGTTGCGGATGGCTGACTCAGTAGCTGTGATCATCTCCACCAGAGGAATTGTACTTGGTGCAACCGCAAAGTTCAGTCCCCTGGCAAGAATCTCTGTCTCCGGCTGGGTGAGCTGTCTGTCAGATTAATTCTTCACCCACTTTTCTGTCTCCCTGGCATGTAACTGTCTACTGGAGTGTTGTCCTACACTGAATGTGTTGTTATTGGAATAGTGATGATGTTGATGAACTATTAGTACGTTAAACTTGTTTTGTTGTCGAGTCTTGGACTTGACATGCTGTGCTAAGCGTGCCTGATCTGTACAGTCCAACACTTGCTGAAGTGTGGTCTGATCTAGACACATAGTTAGTTTCTGTTTAATGTGCTCTTCTTTGGCCTTCAAGGCCTCAGTAGTAAAATTGGTCTGTCTCACCCGTTCATTCAGCAGCTGGGTCTGTGCCTTCTGAATTATCTTGCTTGCCCGGTGCCCGCTGACCGATGATTTTAGTTCCAGGCTCTTGGGAATGATGCCACTTTGTCTGCATTTAAGACAGTTTAAGATATTGTTTTAATTCTGCAGGTCTGACAGTAATCAGGTCTATGTGTGGTTTGTGAAACTAAGCCCAGCTTTTCAAAAATGTCACAATAAATTCCTGGTTTCACAATAGGGACATTTACTTTTTACATAGAGCCATGTTGGTTTAGATAGTTTTTTCCACCTAATAAATGAAATCATCATTAGAAAACTTGGGTTTTGTTTGTGTCTTGTTAAAGACTTTGGAAGAGACAAAGTCTGAAACACTTAATTGTGACAAAAAAAGGCAAAAACAGAAGTCTGTAAGTGGGAAATGTTTTTTCACAGCTCTGTAATGAATTAAAATATATTTTTTTATCTTTATTTTGATGTACTTTTTCTCATGCGGTTCACTCAGAGCTTAATCCTGAATTCATTCAAACTCTTGAAACATTTTGCCTCCCCATGCCGTTGGTTTCTGTCATACCTTGTGACTTGTTTCTCTCTGTCCTCACCTGACTCATAATTCACAGCAGCACACTGAAAGAGAGTTAGGATTCAAAATGTTTCCTAAAAGACTTGACTGTCAAAGCAACGTCAAATGGGAATGTATGTAAATGAACTGGTAAATGCAGTGAGGCTCCAGCTAAAAAAAATAAAAAATAAAAAACAAATTTTCTGAAACTTTGTACTAAGCCCTTCTCTTCATTCCTTTTTTCCATCTCCTTCCTTTTCCTGTTTTGATGCGTGTCCTGCAGCCTCAGCCGGTCCAGACTGACCAGAGCGCACAGTGCCTTCTCTCCAGCCTCCCTCTCTGCCTCTTTCTCTGCTTTTACCGGTAAGAATGTTAAACTGGGTGAGAAAAGGCTCCAGTCTCACGACCAAGCCTCATAGTTCTAATACCCAGATATTAATTATTGAATATTTATAAATGTAAACAAACTTCCAAGAAGATTTCCTAAAAAACAACAACCACAAGCCCTGTAAAATCAAGACCTATGACAGAATTTATAAATCTCTTAAGGCTTAGATATTTCCTTATTTTTGAATAGATAGTCAGACAAATCTGAAAATGTTTAATTGACATTGTTTTATTCAACAAACACACAAAAAATCATTAAACATTTATCATAAAAAGGCAAAAGGGTAACGTGTCTGTTTGCTTGGCTGTTAAAAAAAAAAAAATCTGATGCTCCACACGTCATATTTTAAAGAAACTATCAAAGTAATCACTGATTGTACATCTAAAACTAGTTTGCATTTACAGAAAATACACAAAAATGGCAACAACTTAGTAAAATTTACAGATGAACTGTCAAATAATTATCAGTAGTTAGTACTTTATCAGCTGTGACATGAGTCATTGGACCCGGAGTGTGAAGCAAAGGGCAGAGATCTCTCTCCAGGCTAAGCTAAAGGCTAGCCAAACAAGGGACAGTTTTTTTTCAGGCATATTAAACAACTCCTCAAAAATGACATACAAATAACTTTACATTAGCTACTATTAAACCACTACACTTTTACACGACACTGTTTATTTGTCGCTGTTTTCTTGACTCTATGTTACGACGCGTGCGTGCTGAGTTAAACCATGTTTATGCTGATGATGCTGAAGTTATGAATGAATTAGTTCACCAGGAGTTGAGTAAACCTTTAAACTGACTAGATGCATCATCAGGCAGACTGATACATTCAGCACCATCGGTATAAATACATGCACTTTTGCATTAACATGGCTGTAGTGAGGGTGAGAAAACTGTGACAAACTTAAAGGGGGTCATGCAAAAGTGTAGATTTCATTTTAGCTAATGTATCATTCTTTTAGATCAGGACAGTAGTCCCTTGTTTATCACGGTGGATGCGTACCCTGAAGCCCCACGATAAGTGAAAAACCGAGAAGTAGGAATAGTAGTACTGGTACAAGTAGTAAGTAGTAGTTTATTTTAGTATATATATGTGTGTGTAAAGGTGTTTTAAACCCTTCCCACACTCTTGCAATATTCTAAACAATGTTTCTAAACTCTAAATGCTCTAAAAGAGCACAGCATGTCACGATTTCAGCTCCCTACCTCGGCTGCTCTCTGCTAACTGCCAGCCCTCTCTGCCATGCCCACTTCTCCGCTGCAGAGCGGAGATCAGCTGATCAGCTGCAGGAGGCAGCTTCTCCCCAGCTGTGGGCTGCACACAGGTGCTAAATAATTTTAAATAATTTATTTTACATAAAAATCAATGCTGATCGTGCAGCTCATCCATCAATCAGCCAATTTTGTGTCATGTTCAATCTCACTTTGAAAAACCGCAATAAAGCGAGTCCGTGAAAAACAAACCGTGAAGTAGCGAGGGACTACTGCATCTCATTTTTGAGAAATAATTGCTCATTATGCCTGGTTTTTTTTTTTTAAAGCACTCGTTTGGGTAGTCATTAGCCTAGTCTGGATGAAGACTTTTGTCTCTTTTTCCTTATTCCATGCTCTAAAGATGCTTTTTATTGATGACCTATTAGACGAAACATCACTTCAAAGTTGGCGGGATTGCCCCTTTAACTCCTCTGCCCATTATTTTGCCAACTACTGATTTTAAGTTCAAGGAAAAAAGATTTTGACTTTAAATCCCACACACAATCCTTAGAGTAAAAAGGTCTTGGGGCGTGTGGTAACTGCTGTTTCCAAGGTCAAAAGCACCATTTTGGTCACTGTTGTAATTACTGCCCGACATCACTTTGACCACATCACGTAATATTTTTGTCAGGACACATGGATTCTCTTACCAACGCAAAACAACGTCTCTAATAAACAGAACACCAGTTGAAAATTCACGAGACGATCCTCTGAATAAAAAGTGGGCTCCACATTACTTGTGAAAATGTGTGAAAGTTTCACGGTGTCACAAGATGGTTTATTTTTTTGGTGGCAGCATATTTCTTTCTTATTTCTTTATATATTGTTTTTAACATTAGGAACTTTTTGTGTGAACCTTTTTATCTGTTGCTGCTGTTACACTGAATTTCCCATCAGTGGGACAATAAAGGCTGTTTCTATTCTAATCTATTCTATTCTATTCTATTCTATTCTATTCTATTCTATTCTATTCTATTCTATTCTATTCTATTCTATACTGAGGTTTATGGTAACAGTGTCTCCATCATGTGGGGCCTGTGTGCACATGACTTATTTGTTAAGAATTTTTAAAGCAGGACTGACCACTGGCTACACATTTAAGTTAATACTGTGATCAAGACGAGGTCATGGAAACAACCTACCGCAGGTGATATCCTTGGTAATGATGCCATGCTAACATGGCGTGATCTTTCAGCAGTTCCAGAGTCATGCCAGGTTGAAAGTGTTAAGGCACACCCGAGCATTACAACTGTCTTCCCACTGAAGGGTTGTTTCTAAGCTTGAAGCCATCAAGTTTTTTTCTGATAGGCTGTAGGTCGAACAGAGGTCTTCATCCAATGTGAAGGATGCCTTAGAAAAGAAAAAAAATGATAAGTTCTTCTATCATGTTCATCTCAGGTGGATAGAAAGATAGCAGACTTGGGTTCTGTAAGATTACTTCATATTTTAGCTTTCTTTAGACAAAACACACAAAACTGGTGGTAAAGTACATTCAGAGTTCCAAAAATGAAACAGACCATACCAGTGTCTGTGATGATCATAGTTCATTTTGGAAAACCGAGTTACATTTTCAATGTCAGCTTTTTGGGGCATATTTGCAAGTTTTGGTGCTGAGTGAAAAATAGACTTTAGGTGATGTCAGGTAAAAAGAAGTGGCAAAATGGTAAAATGTCAGGCTACAGAGGTTTGTATATACATTTAACTGTTACTGTTACTAAAAGTTGAAAATGATACTCTTATGTATGATATGATGGAGTGGAAAATAGTTTAACACATCGTAACCTCATCTGGAGTAATGAGGCCGTTGTTCCAGTCACTACTGAACATGTAGGAACTGTGCTGAAAGGCAAAGCTACCAATTTACTGGTTTGTCTATATTCTAACCCTCACAAGTGGCCGTGAGGGTTGACTCATGGCTGACAGAACAAGATCCCCAAACACAAGCAGCTGAAATGATTGTCCTTTGTAGAGGTGGCTAAGCTCAGTCCTAAATAAAGTGAGGAGCTCCAACATTCAGCAGGGAGTAGAGCCGCTGCTCACCTGCATAGAAAGGTGTCAGCTGAGGTGGACCAGGCATCTGATTAGGATGACGCCTGGACACCACGATTTGGAGGTTTTCTGGGCATCTTCCACCGAGAGAAGACTCAAGGGCAGACCCAGGACTTGATGGAGGGATCATATATCTTCTCTGGTCTGGGAATGCCTTGGGATCCCCAGGAGGAGCTGGAGGGTGTTTCTGGGGAGAGAGATGACGGGGTTTACCTCCTGGATCTGTTGCTTATGCAACCTTGACACAGGTGAGGGCAGAAAATTAATAAATGGATAGATGAGAGGGGGCAGCACGGTGGTGCAACTGGTAGAGCCGCTGCCTCTCAACGAGCTGGTTACCCTGGTTCAAATCCTGGTCCAGGGGCCTTTCTGGGTGGAGTTTGCATGTTCTCTTCGTGCATGCGTGGGTTTTCTCCGGATGCTCCGGTTTCCTCCCACAGACCAAAAACATGCATGTTAGACTGATTGGTAACTCTAAATTGTCTCTAGGTGAGAGAGAGAGTGAATGGTTGTTTGTCTCATTTGTCTCTATGTGTCCCTGTGATGGACTGGAGACCTGTCCAGCATGTCCCCTGTCTCTCACATAGTGATAGCTGGACGTGGGCACCAGTGATCCCCATGACCCTAAAAAGAAAGAAGCGGGTAAAGGATAATGGATGGATGGATGGAAGAAACTGTTGAAAGAAGCCAGTTAGGACTGATTTAGTAGCACTGTTAATAAAACTCTAACACCTTTACTTTTCACCTTTTTCCTTTCTTTGTGGTGCATGAAAAAATAAAGTATTAAAAAAATATGTATTTTTGAATTGAATTGAATGAAGCACTGTTCTTTCACGCACCACAAACCTTTAGTTTCCTTTAGGTTGTCTTTTTCTTCAGGAAACCCTGGATACCATTTCCAAACCTTGCAAGAGTTCATGTAGTTTTAGACCTTTCCCCTGAGCAGTATGCATGTGCACAGTGCACACCCAGTTTCTTTTGCTACTATTCTTTAAACATGAACCTGATCTAAGTTTTAATTAGTTCTACTGACTAAAAACACTTTTGAATTAGTATTTTTTAGATCTAAAGATGCATTCAGCAAATTACTTCAAATTGTTGTTCTCGGCAGTCAAACGAGAGAACAATAAAGAAGTAAATTAGTCTTTTGGGACATTGCATCTGTTCAGACAAAGTGAAGGTGCTGCAGTGAGATAGTCTCTCTGTTATTCTGAAATAGTAATTATACTTTAGACATGACTATTAGAAATAATGGTGTTCTAAAGCTAACAGCTCTGAGATCTGTTTTGTTCAAGGCAAAGATAACAGAACTGTGGGTGTGTTTCAAGAAGTGTCCTGAAAGACCCATGTTCACTTACCATAATAATAAGATAGACAATAGATGTGAACAAATAAGTGTTTGCACTGCTAAAGTGCTATATAATTTTCTAATTAAATGCTTTTTGGGGATTTTTTAAGGCAATTCTTTTTGGTAATTTGGAGTAGCTTCAATATCTAAATTGACATAGGTAAATGAAAACTACTGTACTTTTACTTTATTTTCAGAATATATTGTTCATACTCTTACAGACATGAACACATTAGATTCTACCCTTTTGCTAAAGATTGAAAATTCACAAATGTAAATGAAATCATTTTAATCTGACAAAAGTATTAAAAAGTACCTAAATTG